CCAGCAAAATGGACGCCAGGTCCCAGGACGACACGTCGTCCTGGGCCAGGCCGTCGTTGAGGCGGACGAAGGTGAACTCCGGGTGACGATAAGGGCGGAGGGAGTTGTAGAAGGTGTGGGCTATGGTTATGGAGAAGCCGTTCCGGTGGAGCGCATTGGCCAGCTGGAGCATTGGGTTTATGTGGCCCTGGAATGGGCATGGAACCAGCACTAAACGCCGCCGTTTCCCCCATTGCTTCTTCTCCATCTTTCCTTGAAGACGAATAGGAAGAGAGGGGAAGGGTTTTATAAAATCCAAAGCACTGACTTTCACGTGTTTTTTAAGCTCTAAAATACTGAAACAATTTGCTGTCAAGTGTCCCACTCTCTCTGTCTCATGGTACGCCCACATCTTAATTTTACACCATTGGATCCATGGATGCATGAGAAACAAACCACACAATCAAATTTATGAATTATAATAGGTGGGTACGAAGATTTTTAATCTAAGTCCAACTGTAGTTCTTATTATCGAGACAGAAATGAGAAAGTGGGGAAGTGGGAGTTTCATTCAATGATACCACATATTTATACAAACTCTAAGTCTAAAAATAAACTCAACTAATTCCACATAAAAAGCAACTACTCCACTAGCCATAAGAATAGCAACCTATCTAGTTGACTTGACTATACCAAAAATAACCCTAACAACTTCTTAAAAACTAGGACTTGGACTAGAAAAATTCAAAAACTAAAAGAATCAAACTTGCAATTTGAGTTAACTTACATTCTCCTCCTAACTCAAATACTACAAACACCCAACTTGCTCTTAAGAGCTTGAAAACGACCCACGCTAAAGGACTTAGTGAAGATATCTGCTATTTGTTCCTCTGAGCTGCAATGCACCAACTGAACTTCTCCTTCCTTCTGCATCTCTCTAAGAACATAATACTTGATCTTAAAGTGCTTGGTCCTTCCATTAAAAATCGAATTCAATGAAATAGCTAAAGTGGCTTGATTATCCATAAACACCTTCACACCCTCTCCTTTCTTTAGATGCAAGTCACGCATCAACTTCTTCAACCAAACAACTTGGTTGACTGCTGCTGTTGCTGCAATGAACTCAGCTTCTGCAGTTGACTGAGCCACTATATCTTGTTTTTTTTAACACCATGAGAAACACCCTGAGCCAAAAGTGAAACAATAGTTAGAGGTACTCTTCATATCATTTAATGACCCAGCCCAATCACTATCTGAGTAACTCTGCAACTCAAAATTTTCAACTTTATTGTATTTGATCCCAAAAGACAGTGTGCCTTTAAGATATCTCAAAACCCTCTTTCCAGCAACCATATGATTCTTGCTTGCACAATGAAGAAATCTAGATAAGACACTTACAGTGTACATGATGTCAGGTCTAGTGGATGTGAGATACATGAGACATCCAAATAGACTTCTATACACATTCTCGTCTGCAGGTTCCTCTCCATCATCCTTCTGCAACTTCTCCTTCTGAATCATTAGAGTGTTCACACTCTTACACTCCTCCATATTGAACCTCTTCAATATCTCTCTCATGTACTTCTTCTGACAGAGAAACACTTCATTCTGTCCTTGCTGAATCTCCATGCCAAGGAAGTAATGCATCAGACCTAGATCGATCATCTCAAAAACCTTCATCATTTCTTGCTTGAACACCTCTATCTGATTATTATCATTTCCTGTCACCAGCAAGTCATCTACATAAAGAGATACAATCACATTAACAGTACCTAATTTCTTCACATAGAGTGTGGATTCACTCAGACTCTTCACAAAACCCAAGCTCAGCAAGTGATCATCCATCTTGCTGTACCATGCCCGAGGAGCTTACTTCAACCCATGGAGAGCCTTCTTCAGTAAATAAACCTTCTGCTCTTGTCCTGGTGTGATGAACCCATCTGGTTGCTTAACGTAGATCTCTTCTTTTAACACTCCATTTAGGAATGTTGACTTCACATCTAGTTGATACACCTTTCATCCATGCTGAGCTGACACAACCAGTAGCATCCTGATTGTGTCCATTCTTGCAACCGGTGCAAAAGTCTCGGAGAAATCAACTCCCCAGACTTGTGTATACCCTTTCACTACTAACTTGGCCTTGAGCTTGTCATAGAGCCATCTGGATTTAATTTAGTCTTGAAAACMCATTTGACTCCAATCACCTTTCTGTCAGTAGGCTTCTCCACTAGCTTCCATGTCTTGTTCTTCTCTATCATTCTCAACTCCTCCTTCATTGGTTCCATCCACTTTTGATCTTTATGAGCTTCTTCAAACCCTGCAGGCTCCAACACAGCTACGCTACTTCTTTCATACACCTCAGTCAGTAGTCTTGTCCCTTTCACTGGTGCATCATCAACTAGTTCATCAGGATCCAGAGAGACTTATTGTTGCTTCACCTCTGCTTCTTCTGTCTAGTCTCATTCCTCATCCTCCAAAAATTGAACGTCTCTACTAATCACCATTTTCTTTGTGTGAGGTTGATAGATCTTGTAGGCTTTGGACATCATGTTATAGCCTACAAAGATTCCTGGTTTTGCCTTCTCACTCAACTTGTCTCTCTTCACCTGTGGAACATGGAAAAAACACAAGCAACCGAACACCTTCAAACTTGTCAGTTTTGGTTTAGTATCAAACCAAGCTTCATAGGGGGTCTTCTTCTCCAAGACCCTTGTAGGTAGTATATTCAATAGAAAGACTGCTGTGTTTGCTGCTTCAGTCCAAAACTCTTTTGACAAAGTCTTCTCATGCAACAAGCATCTTGTCATCTCCATAATACACCTGTTCTTCCTTTCACTAACTCCATTTTGTTGTGGAGAATATGGAGCAGTGAGTTGATGTTCTATTCTAGCTTCTTCACAGAAAGAATTAAACCTTTGTGATGTATATTCAGTCCCATTGTCGGTCCTCACCACTTGAATCTTACAGCCACTTTGATTCTCAACCCATCTTTTAAACTTTAGAAACACTTCAGCTGCTTCAAATTTCTGCTTCATGAAATATATCCAACACATCCGAGTATAATCATCAATAAAGATAATGAAATACCTGCTACCATTCAGTGAAAGAGTTGGTTGAGGTCCACACAAATTAGTGTGGATGAGCTGTAGCTTCTCGGTTACTTTCCAAACTGACTTCTTGAATGGCAATCTTGTTTGCTTCCCTGTCAGACAAGCTCTGTAGTTTGTTTTCAGCACCTCCAGAATCGGTACTCCTATTGCCATTTCATTTTTCTGTAGATACTGCAACCCCTTTTGATGAAAATGCCCCAACCTCTTGTGCCATAACTCAGTGGCATTCACTTAACACTTGAAAGCTATTTGCTCTTTCTCAAATGGATCTAATGAAAAGCTCTTATGCTGCATCTTTATTCTGAACAACTCATTCCCACTGGAATCAGAAATGAGGCAGTTCTCGTTTTCAAACAACACTTTAAATCCCTTATCTACTAGTTGACCAACACTTAACAGGTTTTGATCAATCTCAGGAACAAACAACACTTCATTAATCAACTTGGTTCCAGCATAGCTCTCTATTAACATTGTGCCCTTCCCTTTCATTTCTAGATACTCACCATTTCCTATCTTTACCTTTGACTTAAATGACTTGTCAAGGTCCTTGAACAACTCTTTGTCACTTGTCATATGATTGGTACACCCACTATCAACCAACCAACCATCACATTGATTGGCTGATGAGAAACAGGTGGCCACAAAGAGTTGATCTTCTTCTTGCTGTACTGCACCATGTGCTCCTCCTTGTTGTTGGGTCTTGGCACCTTTACAAAATCGTTCAATGTGTCCCAATAAATTACACCTTCTACACTTCACATCTGACCTTTTCCAGCATCTGAAGTGTGGATGGTTGTGCTTCCCACAGTGCTTGCATGCACTACCAACATCATTTGCAGCAGATTCTAAGCTACTACTGTCACTCGCCTTCTTCCCTTTCCACTTCTTCTCTCTTCCACCTTCTCCCTGATGCATTCTAGCTTTCAGTGCCCCCTCCATGCTTCCTTCTTGCCTCATCAACCTCCTCTGCTCCTATGCTTGCAAAGCACTAACAACTTCTATCACTTTGAGTTTGGAGAGGTCTTTAGTATTCTCTAAGGAAGCAATGGTTGCTTCATATCTCTCAGGTACTGAAACCAGAATCTTCTAAACCAATCTATTGTCAGATAGATCAGTTACTAATGCTCTTGACTTGTTAGCAATCCCGATCAACTTGTCTGAATACTCTTTGATGGACTCAAAATCATTCATCTGCATTCTCTCGAATTCCCTTACCAAGTTCAACACCTTCATGCCTTTAATCCTCTCATCACCTTCATACTCACTTTTGAGGAACTCCCAGATCTCCTTTGCTGACTTCAATGCCATAATTCTATTAAATATGGTGGGAGACACAGCTGCATATAGGCAAGTTCGAGCCTTTGCCTTCCTGGTGACCCTCTCCTTGTGAGTCTTGATCTGATGCATCGTTGGATTATCAGGAAGTGGAGAAATTTCATAATCTTGCTCAATTGCTTCCCAATAATCACAACCTTCCATGTAAGCTTGTATTCTGATTGCCCATGTTTGATAGATTTCACCATCAAACACAGGTGGAGCCAGTAAAGAAAGATTGTTTGATCCTAGCTCCATTGGACAAAACTCTCATAGGTGTATCACTTAGTTTCTCTCGGGGAATATTTCACTAATCCTCACTCACAGATCCCTTAAGAATTTAAGCTCTGATACCACTGTAGTTCTTATTATTGAGAGAGAAATGAGAAAGTGGGGAAGTGTGAGTTTCATTCAATGATACTACATATTTATACAAACTCTAAGTCTAAAAATAGACTCAACTAATTCCACATAAAAAACAACTACTCTACTAGCCATAAGAATAACAACCTACCTAGTTGACTTGACTATACAAAAAATAAACCTAACAACTTCCTAGAAACTAGGAATTGGACTAGACAAATTCAAAAACTTGCAATTTGAGTTAACTTACACCATCATCGGTTTCGTTCAATAAAACTTAGGTGCTTATTACTGATAATTAGGTACAGATAGATGAGTGCAAAAAGGGGACCAAAAAAAAAAAGAAAATAGAAGAATAAGTTTGCTATTAATTTTTCATGGTGGGTAGGAAGGTACCTCTTAATGAAAAAATTTTCCAAGGCATGGATGACGATCGGGGAGGTCAGCTGACAAAACTTAGAGCGATTCTCGGGGTACCTGTAAGGAGGTTAGCCACTCCAACGTCCAAGTTAGTAAATAATTCGAGCTCAACAGATGAGCGTCAGACAAATTATTTTTAATACCTAGGCATCGAAAGGGGTGGTTTATTTATAGTGGTCAATGGGGTAGATAGYTGTCCTATCAGGGTATAGTCCTACTCGAGTTGGATTCCCCTGAGCAACCTTCAGTCCTAGCCATGGACCGGTCCGTGTTTCTCACACCAAGTTGCCGCAACCGACCTGACAATTCTATTGTTAGTGGAAACTGTCAACAAGTCAGACATCCACAATTTGACCCCAAAAATTGACCCCCTTTTAGGTCGACTGACAGGTCATTTACCTGCGAGGTTGTTAATGCGGACGACTTGCGTTTAGATCTTGTTTCCGAGTTGATATGGATGATGTGGACCAATCAGTCTCCCTGACAAGGGCCTTTAATAGCCACTAGGGGGTTTCATATCGGACGCGACCTTTGAGGTGCTCTTGGGCACTTAACCGTCGTTTTATGGGAGACGATCTGGGCTGCCTGCGAGAAGACACGTGTAGGGTGGAGATCATTCCCCACCTCGTATATATAAGCTTGAGGGCTTCCCCCTCACTTTGCGCT